AACAGTCAAACGTGGAGTATGTTTGACATGTTTGAGAAACAGTCAAACGCGCCTGGAGCAGAATAAAGGAGGGGCAGAGAAGTGGGAGAGGAAGTCAAAAAGGGAGAGAGGACTGCCACTGAGGGGAGAGGACTCAGGCTTTTGCTCCAAATGAGATGGGATACCACCTCTGGCCAATATTAAGTAGGATGTGACTTTTTAAAGGACCCCTTTTTAAAGGATCACTGTGGTTGCTGGCCTCAGTAGGACTATCAGAGGGCAAAAGCAGAAATAAGACCACCAGAAAGTGATCACAGAAGTCCAAGCTGACGCTGGCTTGGGCAGGGTGATGAAAAGCTTCAGTTTCGGGAAGTCTGTTAATGATAAAGCCAACAGGATTTATTGACGGAATGACAGATTAAGTGTGAAAGGGAAGGGTCAGGGATGACTTCGAGGTTTCTGGTCTGGGCAAATGAAAGGACGGAGTTGCCATTTAATGAGATGAGAAAGACTGTGGGAGCAGTACATTTGGAGTGGAGGATGGCAGGCAGCATAGAGAATCAAGAGTTGCTTTGAAGAGGTCCAAGCAGAAATGTGAGGTAAGCAGTTGGATATATGAGTGTGAAGTTTTGGGGTGAGACCTAGCTGAAGATATAAATTTGGAAGCCATGAATAGACACATGGTATTTAAAACCATGAGACTCCTGCAATTCATACACCTTAAATATGACCTGTGTGAAAATATTAATTCCAAAATGGATACTTAAACTAAATTGGTAACTTCTCCTTTCATTTCCATCACTCCTATAAATTTAACTTAAAGAGAGTTGGTATTATAACGCCTAATAGCATTCATCATAAATGCTCAGATTTTGGGGGTGAATTACAGACCTTCAGAGTAACTGTGACTCCATGAAGTACAGGAAAATCTTGCCCATTTGTTAACTATACAATAACCTTACCTCTTCAGAATGCAGCCAAGAATCAAGAATCAAAATAGGTCTTTGGGTAGACACAGGCAGTCATGAAATCCATGCAATCAAGTCCATGGACTTAATTAACTAGTAAAAGTCCCTGCAAATGCAGTTCTGATCCAAAACATGCAAACAGCAGTCTAGGGCTATTTGGTTAAAGAGGCAGAGGCCCACCAAAGTACAAATTCTTATTAACACCCTAGGGCATCAATCTATAATATAGGGGAAGACAGTATAAATGCAGATAAAATATATATGATAATAATGACAGCAATCTTTCCTTAGCTTCCTTTGTTCTAGGTATCTTTCAGTATAACTCTTCATTTCTAATCCTTACAACAATCCCTGAAAGTATCAATAATATTATTCCCACTTTTCAGATGGGGAACAGAGGCCAGAGAGGTTTAATATTTTGATCACAGTCATATCACAACTAGAAGGGCCAGAACTAGAACCCAGTTGTGCCTGAATCCAAAGCCAGTATGCTTCAAACTATACCATAAGAAAAGGTATATTCTATATACTTTTTATAAGATGCTAAAGGAATTATCTATTACAATTATCATCTAAAATGTTTAAATTCTGGGACACCTGGGTGGCTCAGTTGGTTAAGCGTCTGCCTTGGGCTCAGGTCATGATCCCACGGTCCTGGGATTGAGCCCCCTGCTTGTGCATGCCCTCTCTCTCTCTCTGACAAATAAATATATAAAATCTTTAAAATAAAATAATGTTTTTCAGAAACTGTGGTGTTGAACAAAATTGTTTAGAATATTTTTGTCTAAGTGGAATATCATTCTTGATCTAAGTAAGAAAATACTGCTTCTGTATTTTTGTGTAGTAGCCAGTCTACATCAATATCATTTTTACATATTGAGAGTGTAGTGCATCATTTACTGCTTTAGTTTATCCCCATCAAGGTACGAATTTTTCTCCAGGTACTTACTCCAAGTTTAAGAATTTAAACATTTTATTTTATTTTATATTTATTTATTTATTTATTTTATTGGAATTATTTCCAATACTCTTTTATTTCAGTTTAGAATATTAAAGTTTTCAAAATCATCATGTATTAAAATGGCAATGACAGAGAAGAAACAAAATTGATGAACAACACAAATGTCTTACATTTTAGTCATAAGATTCAACTTCTTTCCTCATCAATCTTAAACCAGATGTCAAACAAGCACTGAAATGGATTAGCTTGAATTTCATCCCTACTGATTTTGCAAATGAAGTACCACAGCACTTTAGATATGACAAATGTCCACCATAAGGCAATTCCAAGGCAGGAGAAAGAAATAATAAAATCCATCCCAAATCCACAAAGAATGCTTCTCTCCCTGCCACACCCACTATAATGAATAATTAAACAACCTATTCCTTTTGGAAGGAGGCGGGATAGGGGCGACTTCAATCATTCCAAGGCCTCCATTTAAGTTATCAAAAGGCCTATGAACCCAAAGATACTGATCACTTCTCTTCAACAAACAGGAGCTTGCTTTGTGACACTCCCTTCATCCCAGCAGGAAAGTCATTATACTTTCAGTACCAGCTAAGAAAAAAATAAGCCTTGAGATTCAATTTTACTATCTCAGGGAAAATCAAACAGCTAAAAAATTCCTCTCTAGACACAAAAATTGGTAACAGACACATGAAAAAGTGCTCAACATCACTCAGCATCAGGGAAATACAAATCAAAATCACAATGAGACACCACTTCACGCTGGTCAGAATGGCTAAAATTAACAACTCAGGAAACAAGAGATGTTGGTGAGGATGCAGAGAAAGGAGAATCCTCTTACACTGTTGGTGGGAATGCAAACTGGTGCAGGTACAGGGAAAGACAGTATGGAGGTTCCTCAAGAAGTTAAAAATAGAACTACCCTATGACCCAGCAATTGCACTCCTGGGTATTTATCCAAAGGATACAAACATAGTGATTTGAAGGGGCACATGAACCCCAATGTTTATAGCAGCAATGTCCACCACAGCCAAACTATGGGAAGAGCCCAGATGGCCATTGACATTTGAATGGATAAAGAAGATGTGATACACACACACACACACACACACACACACACACACACGAATATTACTCAGCCATCAAAAAGAATGAAATCTTGCCATTTGCAATGACATGGATAGAACTAGAGGGTATTATGCTAAGCGAAATAAGTCAGTCAGAGAAAGACAAACATCCTGTGACTTCACTCATATGTGGAACTTAAGAAACAGAACAGATGAACATACGGGAAGAGAAGGAAAAATAAAATAAGAGGAAAACAGAGAGGGAGACAAACCATAAGAGACTCGTAAGGAACAAACTGAGGGTTGCTGGAGGGGAGGTGGGTAGGAGGATGGGGTAATTCTGTGATGGGCATTAAGGAGGGCACTTGATGTAATGAGCACTGAGTCTTATATGCAACTGATGAATCACTGAATTCTACCTCTGAAACTAACAGTACAGTATATGTTAATTAAATTGAATTTAAATTTAAGAAAATATTTTTTATTTTCTTTCTAAAGACATCCTTTCTCAAAATCTAACTGGTGAAAGACTTTAAAATAA